TATTGGAAAGGTATTTGTCTAAGATGAGATGTTGCAAAACAACAATTGATCTTTAGTCATAATTCCATTGATCGTTATGGTGAGAATAATTCTCCTTCCCTCCATCCCCCCACTCCTTGGTGGTCCTTTGATGATTTCCTTTGATGATTTCCTTCAAACTCATGAGATTTATTCGATTTGTTACAATTATCAATTTGAAGGCTAACAATCCTTTATGTGGTTTTACTTTAATTGATTATGTAAGACCTTTTATCATCCTAATATCTTTTTAATTCTTGCATTCAATAGATGTCTAAGTAAATTTTGTTGTGCGTTATACAATTTTTATTGTGGGATATTATCTTCATTTTCTAGGCCCATTTTGAGCAATGGATTAATTTTGCATCAATAGAGATTGATCCTAACATTTCAAATAGTTTTATCCTAGTAAGGAATGAAGTGTTTTCCTTGCTCCTATGAGTTATTTTTGTAGCTCTAAGAGCTCTTGAAATTTTTTTATAAGCAATTTTCACATTCTTCTTTTTGGCCAAAACATGTAGAACCTTTTACAAAAATCCAAATTTCCCCTTTTTTTTGGGTGGGCGGGGGGTGCATAGGAAATGTTGGATATGAAATTTTCAACTTAGGTGGTTGGGATTTGTTAATTAGTATGTTTTTGAATTTCTAATTTTGATTATATTATTATAAATCATAATGCTCGATGCATAATTATTGTATGTGACTGAAATTGTTTAGAAAGTTGAGTCTTATTTGGACATTTAGAATGTTATAGAACACAAATTAGGAAAGAAGACAATAAAGGAAACCTAGATTTTGGCCACTATCTGTGAAGAGGTGTTGGGCATGTCTCTTTCAAAGGTATGTTTCTTTAATACCCAATGGTATCCATTTCATAAAACTTGGCTATTGATTCCAACTTATGAATTTATTAAGTTAATTAATTGAAAAACTATCTTTGCTTTCTAATTTGGCTAGAAGAGTATTAATTTGGCAAACTTTAGAAGTTATCGTTGATGTGGTTGAGTCTAAAGACATGACTGAACAAGACAATGATTGATGAAGAAAAGGAATATTATTGTTTCTTATATTTCATAATTGAAAAGCATATGATTTTTAAAATGAAAGAATAATCTGTATTGATTTTTTTTTCATTTAAAATAGGAAGTTGATATCTTGACGAGTTGAAACTATATAAATGTATTTTTTTTTTAAAAATTATGTACCCTACTTACATGCCAAATGAATATAAAAATTAAATTGATTTGAAACCTATTAGAGTTCAATTTAATTTACAATTCATAACTCTAAAATTTATAACATACTAACATAACCCTATCTTAGTTGGTTTTAAATTATTTTCTTTTCCTAGGGCAAAGAATGTTCAAACTCATGTTTTTATATTATTATTTAGACCAGCTTCAAAATAAAAATCCATTATAGAGGTTTTGCATTAATTTCTTTTCTTTTATGTTAATGATGACAAGGAATGATAGAGTAGTAAAATCAAATTGGTGTAGGCTAAACATTTGGAGCAGTTTTGGTTTAAGATTATGAGCTTCATTTGTTGGATATTAAGCTTGAAATGATGAATAAAAAAACTTATTTATGTTAACAAGATGATTTTGGAACCATGCACAATGTTTTCTTTCATAGTTATTCATGGTTGTTAAAGCTTTAAGAAGAGATGATTGCAAATTTAGATTTGCAAGGAATCAACATGTACTAGCTTCTTCTTCTTTTTTTTAATGAGAACATGTACTAATTTTAAATAGGCTTAATTCAGTAATCTTGCCTTTTGAAGTCAAATATAAAATGCTTAAACATTGCTTCAAACATATATAGTATCTCAAAGGGGTAAAGCATAGATCAACTTTTGGAATGGTCTTCAATTGATGACCGAAAAAATGGTGTCTAGAAAAGAGACAGAGCTTTTGAGATATGTGGATTTTCTTTTCGTGATTCTATAATTTTTTCACATTTTAGTTTAGGGAGTGAGTCTTCTTCTTCCTCTTCACCAACATTGCCTTAACCAATTGGCTAAATGTTGTGAGTTCATTTCATTTTCTTTAATTTTCTTCGATGAATTGTACATATCCATTTGGCCACTTCAATTTTCTTCTTCTTCTTCCAACTTCCTATTTAATACAAAAGGGGATAATTATTTCTCATTTTCTAAATTTTTTTTCACCCTCTTGGTCTATTCAAAATTGAATTTAAGACTTTTGAACTTAAAATCTCAAATTCTTTTATAAGTAGTATAGATAGGAATGGAAATAAAATATAAAGTGAGAGTTGTTTACTTTGGGAATAATGTCTAAGTAGTAGGATTTGCTATACAATTTGGCTATACATGTATTATATTACCATGTATATGATGGAGACCTACAATCTTATCTCACAGGTTTCCTGTAGCTTTAGTTGCAGAATTTTATTAATATAATTTTATTTCAAGTTGAAAACATGTTAGTCATTTCATAACTGTTGCGGTGGCATCTACACCTTCATGAGTGTGCAAAATGAAGAAGACTCAAGGTTTGGCCACAAAAACACCACCCTTATATTTTATTTTATTATTACAAAATAGACCGACATCATAAAGATCAGAATTATCTATATATTTTTCTCACTTAGATATACTCTTTTTTAGTGGTTTTATCCAAAGATGGGTTGTTGACAGAAAGGTAGCGCTAAATACTAAGGCTGTAGTTGGATGTAATAATCCCTATCCTTTTGTGGATATTTTTTTTATTCTTGAAGTTTATCTAGGTTCTTCTGCATTGTATGCTTCAGCTTTTAGGCCTCTTATATATCGAGAGTGCTGATATAAAATTAAAGATAAAAAATGATTAATTACATTTCATTTTCTATTGCAAGAATCAGTTAGTTATTCAGGGTTAAACTAACATAACAGACTTCACTATTTAGCCTTGACAGTGTTTTATAAGTTTGTGGTTGATATGCTTGATACAATGTGAAAATCTGTCTTAGGAAATATTAAAGACTTGGGAATTTTATGTAAGAGATGCATTATATTGGATACTCAATTGAGCGATTTGATTGTGTGTAATTGAAAGTTCTAAACTTTGACCATGAATCTGTGAGGACTTTATTTTGACTATTATTGTATACTTAGTTGAGCCATTCTTCCTATCTCATTCTTTCATCTTTTGCTCTCCTTTTTTTTTTACACTTTCTTTTTTTAACAAAGCTGAAAAGATAGAAATCCATGTAATCTAAAAACCTGATATAGAATTCTCTATTTTCTACCTGAATTTTTATTTTTGTGAGACCTTTAGAACTACAACATGTGTTATATTATTGAAAACTTTACAAACCTAATACTTATGTGTTCATTTAAAATTGGCCTATTCAATGTTGGCTCATTCAAAGTTAGACCCAACACCACACCCTACAATGTAGGGTTGTCTAACTGGTTTAGTAACAAATGTAGCAACAACAACA